GGGTGCACAGTTGTGCGTCAGACCGGAGTGGAGACAGGGATACAGATTACCCCTAGGTGTCTCGTCTTTCCCCTTAGACAAAGCTAAGCGTATTTGAAAGAACAAGCATTTTCACATCGCTTATAGGTCAGAATAAGGATCAACACACACAGGGAAGAGCAAGCTCAGAATGGTCACAGGCGATAAGCGACTCATGAAATTCTAAGTAGCAAAATGTAAGACAATCCAGAGAGGAGCTGAAAGTAAAAATAGCAGCTGCAGTTAAAAAGAAAAATTAAGCACAGGCCAGGAGAGATCTGTTAAATCCTGGCTGGAGCTAAACACTACTTCATTCCTGTACTGGCTGCCACAATGTCTCATTATATACATACATTCACATATACACACACTCTTCCATATGTTTTGTGTACATACTAGGCATTTTGTTTTGCAAAACACTTAGGAGAAAGGTGAAATATAAATGCAAGATATCTGCAGATAACTGGGCCAGAGATGGAAGGAAAATGAGAACTGTGTACAAACATACAGAAGTTATTTGAGAAATTGAGGCTCTGAGCATACTGTACGCAAACTTTGTGGCTGTGACATTTGATTATTAAGAAACCAGAGTGACTCAGTGCCGGCCTAATATTTCTGCAGATTGTAGCAATAAAATAAATGCCACAGTGCTTCCAGATAAGAGCTCAGGCTCCCAGGTTCACATGTTTCTACTGCTCCTATCATCTAAGCAGGGCAGGACATTCACACTCTGCACTTCCTCGCTTCCTCCCGTGTTTATGGCATCAAAGAGCATTAATCTCCGGCTCTTGGCAGGCGTATGGACTGATTAAAAACATACAAAATTTACACAAAGTGTCCTCGTGACTTGGGAGCTCAAAACAGTACTTCAAGTACTTCACAACTCCCCTTGGAAAAAGCAGGAACAGACTAGGCAGAAAGTTCCCCTGAAGATATTAAATCCCAGAGGGAAGGGAAAAGTAGCGAAGCAGTGCCAGCAGGGTTACCGAAGTCATAAACAGTTCAAAACATACTGTCTAGAAAGCAAAAATGGAATCAAACATCTAGGAGGGGAGTACTTTGGGTCCTCATAAGCACGCAGGGATATTTACATTACTTGACAAAAGCATTAAGAGCAGCAGCATTCATTAGCTTCAGAAAGCAACGGGGTATTTTTCAGGAGTTGGTTTTGTCCTAGCAAACTGCTCAAGTTAGATTTGGATATTTAGGGATCACGAGCGGAGTTAGTTCAGTTCAATGGGAGCACTCAAGCCCAGAGCCAACATGACAGGCCTACATCTGGCTCCGGTTAGATTCGTGTTCTTCTAGGATGCGCATTTCCCTTGTTACTGTATGTTATATAGCTTTTGTTAGGAAAAATCATCCTGCACCAATATGGCATCGGTCTGAACACACAGCAAAGACCAAGCAAGGAACAGGCAGTGTCAGAAATACCAGAAAGGTACTGCAGGACATGATGAAACACTGGAAGCTCTCCCAGGAACTGCTCTTTTCACATAGATCCCAGGATGGTTTAGGTCTTTAAGCAGAGGCATTACCTGCACTGTCAGGAAAGCACTGTTCCTGGGGCAGCATCATTTAATAGACTACTGCAATAATTACCAACCTGAGAAGGGCAGGAAATAAATGCCACGCATTTGAGAAGGGAGCTGTGGATGAGACAAGGGAGCAAAGATTTGGCAGGGGAAGGGCCACCACACCGAGCAGAGGCTTCTGCTAGAGACCCTCAAAGGTGAAGAGGACCACCACTCATTTAGGGATTAAGAAAAGGTCCGCACCTTTCCAGATGATAAATCTGGAACCCACTTTAAAACCCTTTTCTGTTCAGGTTTGTCAGTCACTTTTTAGAAGAGAACACCAAGTTTTCATGTACCTCATACTCAGAACCATGCTGGGATAAAAGCAATTTGAACAGATTAGAAAGCAACTATTAGCAGTCATTTTACAGAAGCGGCTTTCTAGAATGCATGGATATGCTTCAAGCCATCATATTATTTGCTGCAAAAAGCCCATGCCATGTTCAAGACTGCATTAAGATTTTCTAAAATGGAAAGAAAATTTTAGCCTACAGTACTAGAGGAACAAGGAAAGCTGCAAGAACAGCATTTTGGCTTTAAGCTTCAGCATAAAAGTGTAATTTGTTAAAGGAAAAGAAACTGCCGGATTCTATGCTTTATACAAGCCAGTGACTTACAGACAATTTGAACTCTGCATGTCATCACCGCAGTGGGAGCTATGCAGTGCTGAGCACAGGAAGACTGCAAACAAGCTACATGTGTGCTCTAGGTGACCTTCTGTCCATTTACAGGCTCCACCATCTCTGAAATCCTTCACTTCCACCTCTTTGCAGATCAGAGATTGCCACAGCAAATTTCTTCCCTACTAATTCCCACCCCTGTGTTATCCAGAGCTCAAGCTGGCTGAGGACTGCTGGGCTAGGATACCCATGCTCACTGGAACAGGCAGACCTGGGAGAGAACAGGATCTCATCTCATTCACAAGCTTGTTTCACACCTAAGAATGCTCCCGGTTCAGCCGGGACGAAGGCTTGCTCTGGAGCTATCTGTAATGCCAAAACCAGCAGTATCAGGCACCGCACAGAGTCTGCCCCCGAGAGCAGTGGTGCAGAGATCAGGCTGGCCCAGAGGAAGGGGACGAGACGTCACTCAGCCCTGGCTGTCCGGATAAGCTGGGCTGGGGCAGCAGAAATGGGAACCAGACAAAGAAAAACAAACCTCTTCCTGCAGCCAGTTGGGAGCTTCCCCGGGTCCTAGCACTCTCCTTGGCACTTCCACTCCCCAGGTCTTTCCTCCCTGCAGCAGAGCTGAGCCCTTCTTTGCTAAGCCAGCTCTCGTCTAGCATCGACTGTTTATTCAACCCGAAACCTCAGCTGCATACTGTTTCACCCGGGAGGTAACCTGCACTTCAGGCAGCCCTCGCCCAGCAGACAGCAAGGCAAGCCCCAGAGCGAGAGCCAGCCTTTTGGGGAGCTCAGCGAGGGAAGAGGTGGTTTTCAGCCACTCAGAGACTCGTAGGGCAAGGGAAGCATGCTAGAAGGTCCGATGAGTCTGGAATAAAACAGTCGCAACACAGCGGGTGTAAGCAAGCTGATGGATGGAAAGATGCTGTACTAAAAGGAAGACAGCAAAAGCAACATTAGAAGGGACAAAGCAACTCAGTGATTTGAGCACAAAACAACTCCCTGCACACCCACCCCACCCCAAGTTCACAAGGAGAAAGGCCATCCTTGGGGTGTCAGTTCTGAAAATACAGCTGGGCCAACTCTGATCCCAGGCTGCCTTTTACTCCCACCTATCCCAACCAGCACTAAACAACCTCCAAGCCAAACCACCAAAAGGTCAAACCCACCACCTTCCATGCAACTAACCTGAGCCTCAATCAACTTTATGAACATACAAGAGCCTGGCCAACGTTAAGCTGCGTTGGCTTCACAGGCTATTGGAAGGAAAGTTTGGTTTATGCCTTAAGCCAGCAACCTTGATTTGTGATACATCAGGAGAGAGAAAAATAATCTTGAGTAGACTAGCACCAAAGCAATTAACAACAAGGAAACTGGGTTTTATATGCTTTCTGAGAGTTGTCTGTAGCCAGCCCACATTTAAGATTGCCAACATGACAGTACCCTGATCTTCATCGGTTTGAGGCACTTGAGAAGTGGGGAGGGAAAGATGACCGGCACCAAGTAACGTACTGTGCATCTTGTAAACAGTCTCTAACCTAAGAGGTTTATAGTAAGTTTCAGAGCTGACTCAAGAGGAAGGAGAAGAGGGTTCGCATAGCTGCAGCAATACTGCATCGTTACTCAGCTGCGTGCACATTTCTGTGGTTCAGTTAAGGTTTCAACAGAAAAAAAGAAAGGTAAAGGATGGTGTAAAACCAGCGTCGCTCTTTCCCAAAAGGCACGGTTCACATTTGGAACTAGACAGATTATTTCTCACACCAGAGAGAGGTATCTTAAATAGAAGGCACCCTTAGCTTAAGAGTCTATTTTAAGAAAGCAGCCAATACTTATCAACTCCAAATCAGGATGTTGATATTGGAAGGGACCCATCTCGTCCAACCTGTATAATCAAGTTTCCACATCAGTTCTCCTTGGGCAGTTTTCTCCATTCTTTAGAGTCCTCCGGTGGCTTCAGCCGCAAGCACACTCTTCTGACGGAGAAGCGTCATGTCACTGAATTACCAGCACTTATTTCATAAGCCAGAATAGATGTTGGAACTTGATGCATCTGCTCCAGTTTTTCAAGCAATATTGGCTATTTTATTTAGAGCTTAAGTGATTAGAATAAAGTTAGGTACCAGAAGACATCCGAGTTAGTTCACCGTTACCCAAGGACAAAGATAGGATGGATACAGTCTAAAGAACATTTCCTTATCAAACTTCCTATTTGCTCTTGAAGGTTAAACAAGCCTGACCAGTCTAGCCAGCTGCAATTTTTCTGGTGATAGGTCCCTGCTTCTATGTTCTTCCACACTTGCATCACCTAGTCCGGGAGGACAGAGGCTTCAGCTCCTGCCTTCACTTCCATCCACTTCTGGACAAGAGGTCCCAACAGCTAGGTTCACTGCAAGATTATGAACATGCACCGTGTGCACTCCATACTAAATAAATCATTTTATACAAACAGGCTCCAGCACCCACTGTGGTATCCTGCACCTTACCCACAAATGGATAGATTATTAAAAAAGCACAGGGTAGAGAGACTCAATTCATTAACACACAAACACGTGACCAAATGACATTTCCAGCTCCCAGCCCTTCAGCCAAAAGACCAAACTTCCTCTCTGCTTGGTACGTGATATCTGGAAGTCTACGGTAAAAGCATTCTGCAGAGTTGAAGTAAAGACCTTATGATTGCCCTGAGGGTTGGTGCAACTTCACCTGCAACAACGCTGCAAGCAATAACATCTCTCCTGCATAAACAGTAAAAGGATTTTGACTGAAAGTGATTATCGGTTACCTATAGACGGGGATTTGAAAGGGTATTTATCAGGAAGGTCGACTCTAACTTTCCATACTCCACCTTCATATGGTGCTGCAATGAAAGAAATGGAGGTATTAGACACTTCATAACTCAGGAGAGAATAAATAGAACTACAGCATTAAGCAAAACACATCTTTGGAAGAATACTTAGTTCCATCAGGGGGTAAGATTTCATATCAAACCTCCTACGGTAAAAGCCTTTTTCCTGTGCTGCCTAACAAGAAATACATGATTTTAACTGATACTGCAGATGATCTCGGCACAAAGACACAGGAGCCTTATTCAAAACAGAGACTTTAGAATAATCTACTTACCTTTAGAGATTTTACTAAATTAAGGCACGCTGGAGACCTGACTTGTGATCTAATCACTAGAAAACCCACCTTAATTACAAACTCCGCAAAAATTCAGGTGACTGATTAAAAATTCAGATGACTTATGAGCCAGGTCTAGAAAAGCTAAGGATCAACAAAAGCAGTGCTGAAGGCCATAGCAGAGGGCTTAGCTGTCCGAAGGCAGTACCCAGCTCTGCTCAGCTCCAAGGGAGGTGGTTCATCTGCATTAATGCTCACAGTTGTATTTCTCCCCGCCCTTGAGAGAGCGGCCTTCAAACACTGCTACCCTTTGATTTCTCACCCCCACTTAGATTTGCTCATCTCTTCTTCCACTCCAGAAGAATGTGTCATTTCACTGTTCCCCACCATGAGCCATTAGTTTGTTTTTATAGAAGGGTTGGGTCATATACTTACTTCCTTGTGGTCCATAAAACTTCACAACAAATTCATTGAGTCCTCCTAAGATTGTGACTTCATGTTTGCTCTCAATACTGATACATCAAGTAAAGGAAAACATTTAGTCCGGGAAACAAAACCCATTTACTCAGATACGGGTAACTTGCTAGAAGCCTGTCAAACCAAATAGTTTAAAACCAAATATTCAAAATATTCTACAACGTGCAATTTAAGCGTCTTGACACATCTAAGTGACCACACCACCACAATGACGTTAATAAAAGCTAATTCTACACACTGAAGAATCCCTCCCCCTGCATTGAGCAATCCTGAGATGATGCCTCCTTTCCCCTCAGAGCTGCTTAGTGTTTTCCATCTCCTGCTGCACAGCATAAGCTCCGATTTCAGAAAACACCGAGTCCCTATCAGCGACGTATATGGAAACATATTCGGGCTGTGGAGAGGAGCTAAAAATCTAGAAACAGCAACAGCTCCAAAGCCTCGCCGCACACAGACATGAACCCCAGGGGCAAGGCTCGAAGGCGAGGCCAGGACTCGGAGAGACCTCTCTCCTTTCCAGCACTCAGGAGATGAGCCACAAAGCAGAAAGTCACCCTTGCCAACCACTCGCATTAAATGTTTACTCTCCTGCCCAGATTAGAGGAGCAGAACTCATCCCAGTCCCTGCTCTGACAAATGTGAGAGCTGATGAATTCAATTCTCCTTGGCTGCCTTCAGCGCTGTCAGACGGCCTCCCACAGCTATGATGCAAATTACGGCAATCTCATGTTAATTTGAATTGCAAGACCAAAAAACTCTGCGTCTTCAGAGAGATGGCAGAAGGGCGAGATTATGAGGCACTGTTACAGTGCGAAAAGAACAACTGTATTTCTCAACATTTAAAGGAAAGAATCAAAGCACCAGCGCTTTGAGAAGAAGGGAATACAAACGGAAAGGCAAGAAATCTTCATTTCAAGCAAGGCTCAGTTAAGACAATTAGCGGTGATGTTTCGGCACCCAAGCTTGCTGAAGAATTCTGCTATAAATCAGGATTAATGGATTGTGAATAATATCCTACAGCAATTATCTTTAATCAATAATCTTAATATGAATTATGAGGGAAGCATCAGAAAAAAAACAGAGCAGGAGAAAAATCAAAGGTTTATTCCCACCTGAACTTCAGACCGCTTCAGCTCTGCACCACAGAGGCTGCCCCCATTTGACAGAAGGGGGCAACAGCACAGAATATCTAATAAAAGATCCTTAACATCACAGCAGCAAGCTTGGCAGAAACACTCAGGCTAAGAGGAACCGAAGCCAGGTTCCCTTTTACAACCAAGATTTTTCACTCTGATGCAAAAGGTTTTCTGCTTTCAAGGCACAAAATTTGCCCAGGAAGCTCTCCACTTTGCAGCAATTACGCAGACCGCCTTGTACCTTCATGGCACTGAGCAAACAGGCACCCGTGCGCCTGGGCACACACATACACGCTCACTTAAGTATTTCTGACCCACCAGGAACATAACTGCCTGGGACCTACCACCAGGAACAAATCATTCTCAGCTCAGACCTACCCCTGATCTCACATTACGATCCATGAAGTCTGCTTAAGGTGCGTCACAAACTACTTTATGAGGAGAGGCTCCTGTATCCAGAAGTGCCAATTCAATCCCAGCAGTCTGCGTGTGTACTCGTACACAGGAGATCCAAGTCCCATCTGCGGGGTCCGTCAGGATTTATTACAGTTCCTCAGATACAATGAGTCCCAGATTGGACAGAGTTTTCCCACAGTGCCAGCTCCAAAAGAGTTTGGATGCAATAACCTTCTTCCTCTCATTCTCATAGGGAGGGAGAAAAGTTTATAGCAGTTTGTTTTGGCTCAAGAGTTTTCTTGGTTCAGCATAAGCTGCTCTGCCCTACAGTTAAATGGCAAGTAGCTTGCTGCACCTGGCAGTCACCCAAGAGCAGCTCACAAAGGGCAGATCGATGCCTAACTGCCCCAAGCGCAAGCGATTTCTCTGCTGAAAGCCAAGGGGCATCTCTGGGAAAAGCTACATCCCTTCAGGTTTGCAGAGAGTACCTTAGCACCAAAGTATTGCAGCTTGCTTCAGACCTGAAGGGACATTTGTCACCAGATCTTTTCACGTCACCCACTACCATGACAGTAAGTTTTAAATACAGGCTCAACTGAGTTTAAGGTCCTTTGAAAATGCACACGCTCACCTAATGGATAACTATTCCAGGTTCAAAAATGGGCTCTTACGCAAACCCGCCATGTATGATGATGCCCCAGAGTGAAACGTTTAATACTGAAGTATGTTAACACTTACAGCAGCTTCACGGATCAGGTTAAATACAAATGGTTTTACTTAGGACTAAATCAAGTACCACTTAATAAAAAACAGCTCTCCCAGCCTCATCTTCAGAGTGAGCTCCTGAGCAGCTGCAGCTTATATGCTCTTCGGCTCCGCATGTTAATACCGACCATAAATTAAAGCAGAGCTTTCTGCACTCAGACTCAGTCCTAGTGTTCCCAAGTTCAAAACACTATTGTAAGCAATGTGGTGCCATATTTGATTACTCTCCCTGTTGTGGCAAGGACCTAAAAGTCCTACAAAAAACCAGCAAGTGAGTTAGGTTCACGAAAGGGATATGTATTGGGATGTGGATGCTGCATTTGGGAATAACCGCATTGTTCATTAACGTGATACAAGAGTTTGGGGACAGACTGAAAATGAAGTGAATTTCAGCAATAAAGCCCTTGTATCAACACAGGGGAAGTCTCTGGAAATGCATTAGCAGAACTGAGGAAGCTGGGGAAGCCCTCTTTCCTGGGCATGAGGTGAATTCCACGTGAACTCCCACTTTCTAACACAAGTGAGGTGAATTGCCTTCCCCTTCCCCTCTCCACCAAGTTTTCTCTAAAGGTAGAGATGTCCAGGAATTTGAAACCTTGAAATCCCACTAACAAAATGATAGAGAGCACTAGTGGGAGAAGGGCATGGAGCAATTACAGAAAGAACAACATTTACACCCTACAAGCTCTTTCCATCTCCAAGAAGTCTTCAGATCCATTCCCTTAGCACACGTGATCCCCAGGAAACATTTATTGCACAAGCTGGGACTCCAGGAAGATCGGGAACCCGAGACAGACCTCAAGGCTTCTCCATCCCACAAAGCCATACGAGGGAACCCTCTAGCAGCACAAGGGAAAAGCATGGGGGAGCAGCAGAAGGGACTTGACACGTTTGGAGGACTGTCCCTCCGGACCAGGTTCCCAGAGAAAGCTCCACCACGGCTGAGGGCAATGTATCTCCGAGTAAAGAACGTAGGCTCTGACCCAGCTATTTTCTCAGCTCAGACAGATTTTTTCCATAAGGCAAAAGTCTTGCAACCAAATCCCAAATGAATCCCATTCCAAACACACCAGCAATTAATCAGCTGTCGCAGATCCAAGAAAGAGTTGCCAGTTTGGAGACCCACAAGACTTAAGGAACCGACTTGTGCCTAGGGCACAACGAACCCCCTCTCCTGCATTCAGAGCCAGACAGGGCCTGGTGCCGAATCCTGCAGCAAGCCCAAGTAGCTCCCAGGAAGGAGAAATGCTCCAGGTCTTCAGGAAACAGAGTACAGCTTCAGGAACCAGGCAAAGAGCATCAAGAATTTGGAGCACCACAATTAAGGTGGCCAGACTGTTCACAGCAACCCCCGCGCATTTCTCCCAGGAAATCTATGTTCGCGTCCAGGAGTCTCATCCACCTCTTTCATCGGCTACTGATGTAAATCTGTGCAGAAAGTGCTCCTGTGAGCGCTCAGGACTTCAAACACGCAGTCAGCATTGATGGGGAAGACCACAAGCCCCTCACCTTGTTTTAGTCTACTCTGTCCAGACAAATTCTTCTGTGCCCACGCTCTCTGTCACTGCACTCTTCATTATTCAGATTTGCAGAAAGAGAACGAGCAGGTAATGGATAAAGCCTTTAACGTTCTCAATTCTAGTGGCAATCCAGTGGTTCATACTGGTACAAGCAGTCTGCCTTGTTTCCACAGCAGGGCACACGGCCACACCGTGTGTATACAGGGTCAAGATTACAGAGCTACAAAACCAGCCTCTAACACATCACACGCAGTAAAATGTTTAACAAAAATACAACCAAATCCCTTTCAAGACTCTCGGGTTGCTCCTACTAGTCTAGGTGACTTATGGCCTTGCTGCTTTTATCTCTTTATCATCTCAGTATCCTAATTTGACTTTGTGTCAAATACAGTGTAAAAGTCAAGAGAAAAGAGCAAGATCTGGATACAAGTCAGGTTTCTAAC